TGCCAGATGAAGATCTTCAGATGTAAAATACCACTATGAACATAGACTGCATTGCTGTCTAAAGTTATAACTTTGAGAATAAATCAAGTAATGTCAGGATTGCTCAGCAGCCCTGAACGAGGCTGATGTGGTCTGTCATTGTCCATGCTATGAAACAGTCCTGTAGTCTAAAAACTGGGTGACTGTAACTCAATTGCCTGGTGGGAATTGTCCCTGGGAGATGCCAGCACCCAGACTATGCCAGGGTTGCTGGGAGAGAGCTGGTTTTCTGGAGCAAAGCTGTGCCAGGGAATTCTCTAGATATTTAGTAGCTTTGAAGATTGAATTCCAACACCTGCATCATTACAAAACCTGGAATGACTTGGTATTAAGAAGATGCACCCTCAGTTCTGTGCTTCAACTTTATCATACCTAGGACCTAGGACAGGCTCCATGATGCTGTTCAGGAGCAGTGTGGCTCTCTGAGGTAGTGAGTAAAGAATAAATTCTTGTTCAGGGAATGATACTGTCCCTATTTAAGCTTTCACAGCTGGATGAGCCCTCTCTGAAATTTTCACACAGGTACAGTAATAGCAAGGTTGACTCCTTGACCACTCTTTGCTTTTCTACCTATGGTGAATTCACAGCTGAATTTTGCGATGACCTCTTCTTTTTCTGTAGGGGCAAAATCACACATCCTACTAATCCTACATGTTTAGTATTTGGATCTGCATGTTGGGAATGAGGGCTTATGCCTGGGGAAATACATACCAAACACTGCTGTCCAAATCCTGCAAAATCTCCCTTGACATGGAGCTGAAACCAATGGGATTTCCTCCAAGAGAATGTCTGCTTCTGGCAAACAGAATGTTTTTGTAGGTCAGGGATTATCTTCAATGTGGTAAGTGGGAAAAAATTTCAGTCCTTATTGATGAAAGAAAACAAGATCAGAGAAGTATCAAGTCAGGACAGCAAGATGTTGCAGACTCAGATTTCTCTATTCATGGAGACTTTTAGTCTATTTGATTGACATCTCTTTTCAAATTCCCATGTAAAAAATGTTTATCCATGACTAAATCTAAAATATTTCACATCCTATTCTCAAATGGCTTATGGAAAGAAGAGTGATGCTTCTTGTCCTTTACAGAGGAGCTCAGTGCAATATCAAGCACACAGATGGCAGACTGAGAAGCAGTCTCAGAGGCTGCCACTCTGCCTGACCATGGGATATTTCCCTTCTCCAGAAAAAGCTGGGCTTATCTGTTCATGATTTCTCTGTGTAAGCAGGGTAGACTCTGATGGGCTGATATTGCCCACATAGTGAAGGAGATGATTATCAATCCATATAAGGAATACTGCCTGGAGTATCCAGCAGGCTGATGCAGTGGTGCTGGAATTAAGCAGGACACTGTTGAAGTACCAGTCATTCTTCTGTAGTTAAGGCTGTATCAGCATTTCTACTAGAATACTTGTTTCCAGTGGTTTTTGCAATTAAACCCGGAAAATGTGCTCTGGACAGAAATTTGATGAAAAAGTTGTTCCATGCAGGGGCAATAATTTCTTTTAGAGGTCATGAAGAAATGCCCATTTATTTTTCTTGATGAGACAGAAAAGCAGAGAAAAACTAGGCATTTCTATGATAAAAGTGTGCTGAAAAATAAATGCTTAAAGTAAAGGAATCAAAAGTAGAAGTTTATGAGGTAAAAACCTAATAAAAATGGAAATTTAGGCTTAATTTTTGGATGAGTTTTCTTACAGGCACTTTTCTGTCTGAAGAAATTATTTTGGTATTTGGGCTTTGTTGTAAATTAGTTAGGTCTGTACCACAGGCTGCACTTTGAAGCATAGAAACATCTATTTATTTCAACAGAGTTATGCTCTCAGAATTTTCAAAAACACATAGGGAAATTTTGAAGAGGTTGAGAGTACCCAAAGAAGAATAAAGTGTGAAATTAGTTGAGCTGCAAAAAGAAGATAGCCTCAGGGAGCAGGAAAGAGAAACTCTGTTTTAATGAGGAAGCAGGAAAAGAATTAGAATAGTTTTGTGGACACACTGGTATGTCAGAGAGGAAACAAAGAGAGCTAGGAAAGATGAACTGCTTCACATGTACTTGTTTTCAGCAGGGTTTTGGCTGCCAGTGTGGGCAAGAAAGCCTGATCTCTGTTTTTGACCTGAACATCCATAACCCACCTCAAACCTGTGCATAATGATGTTTTGCGTAGCTATGGGTAGGATGAGCATCCAAATTTCACATTGGATCCTTGGCTTTTAAACCATTAAGGAGGTAGAAAGAGATGAGGAAATGGTTGAGGGGAAAAAAAAAAAAGAGATTGTATTTGGGAAAAGCCTCTAGGATTAAAAAGAAAAGCTTCCAGAAAATTATTTTACCTGACTGCCATATCAGAAGAAGTGTTTACACCACTCCAGTGTTGGGCAGATGAGGTGCTGTGTGGGACTCTGTAGTGACAAGTGGGAAACTCCCAAAGAACATCTCTAAAAAAAGCCCTTAAAGTCTCCTTGGTCAGAGATGTATCAGCTTGTGTCAACCTGTGAGCTGCTGTGGTCACAAATTCCAAGTTACTCCTGGGGAAGTTGTGAATTCCTGCACTCAGCATAGGGTGGTACCAGGGGCTGATGGGGCTGCTGCTCTTGAGAAGGCAAAGAGAGAGCAAGTGGAGCATGAAATACCTCTGCTGGCATCTTTCAGCTCTTTTTGAAAGTTTCCTTTCCTGTTCAAATGCCTTTTGCCTGTGTAAGAATTTATGAAAGAAGAATCAAAGCTTTATCTGTCTATAATAAATTGGTTACACTCCAAACAATGTTTCACTTGGTTTCCACTTCACCCTAATTTTCTCAGATATCCCGAGTATCACTGTTTGTTTAAAGCCTTGTTGGAGGAGACTCTGCCTCTTTGAGAAGAATCCCATTTTCCCAACACCACAACACTTCTCTTGCTCACTGACTGCCTAACTTTGCTTCCTTACAGTGTTTCCTAGGAGATCAAATGGGAGCTTGAAGTACTCAAAAACCTAGTGTTGCAATGAAAAATAACTTATTAAAGTTTATAATTGCTGAAAAATTAATCAGAGACTTAGCATGGTACTTGCATAAAGACAATAAACCAAGCTCTTGTCATAGTGAAATATGGAATAACTACGTTGAAATAAATCTTAATTATGCTAGAGTTGCTACTCAGTGTGACTTAATTAGCAGTAGAGCAGTGAAAGCCTTTGGGGAAAAAAAGAATGCTGATTACACAACCACTTAACTGTATATTCTTCCTCCCCCCCTGGTTCTTTTCCTTCCCATCAGAGAAAATTTCAAAACTAGAGTTGTTCAAGGAACTTGAATAGACATTAACATGTGGCATGTTACATTGTAAATAGGAATTGTTTGAAGTAAAAAGTTGAGAATAATAACCCTGAAGATAATCTCTTTAAATTATGCATGCAAGGTACTATGCATCCATACCTACCTTGAACTTAAAAAGTGCATTGCTTTGTTAGGCAATACATTTATGAGACATAGAATGGTTTAAGTTGGAACGGACCTTAAAGGCATCTAGTTCCAACCACCTGCAATGGGCAGCACACTTTGCACTGCTCCAAGCACTGTCCAGCTTGGCCTGGGACACAACCACAGATGGGGCAGCCACAGCTCCTCGGGGCAACCTGTGCCCTCACAGTAATGAATTTTTTCCTAAAACCTACTTTAAAACTACATCAAGTACTGGACTACAGAGGTGAAGACTTAGCTCTAAAAAAAAAAAAAAAAAAAAAAAAAAAAAAAAAAAAGAATATTAAAAAAAAAAAAAAAAAAAGACAGAAGATTAGATTGAGGTTAAAACACCCCACAGAGCAAAGTGTAAAGAAACAGACCTTCACTGCAGCCCCCGAGTGCAGCATGCAACTATGGCTATAGAGTATAGACAGATAAATTGTTCAACAAGCACACCAACGAAGTAAGAGGCTTATTTGTCATGGTATCACTCCTTACCAGATAGAAGACATGCAAAATCAAATATATCATGGCAATAAATCTGTTGACTTCAACAGAGTTATTTCAACAATGAATTCAAAGCAATATACTTTGAGGGAATGAAACCAAACCAAGCAGGAGATGCACACAGGGTTCTTGGAAGATTATCTAGACCATATATAAAATCAGACATTAAAGAAATATGCACAGTGTTGCAGGGGATTTATGGTAACTGGGGAAAAAGTTGTGTAATGGATATCCAGTATGCAGCATGTCATCAGTGTCAAATTGCTTGGCATGAGCTAAGTGCTTTCTTCAGAGGTGTTATGCAGCTCCAGTTAAACTGAAAAGGTGCTGTAGTAAAAGGTATCATGTACTGAAAAAATTTAAAGAAAAATAAGCAAAAACAAGTAGAAAGAATTTAAAAATACAGATTATGCATCCCAAAATTATTCCAGTTTTCCTTGTTCCACAGAGACTGACGTTTTTGCAGAAGTAAAAGCTGAACTTGTATTTTTTGGTGGATGTGGAAATTGGTTGAAAAAAACAAAATTACATCCATGGAAGTGTGGTTTGTTTTCTGCTTCACTCCTGAATTAACAGAGAAATAAAAACTTTTTAGTCTCAGTGGGTTATCTATATATTTGGTACCTGTCATACAAGTGCTACTGCACCTGCATGGCACTGAAAGGAGTTGGTTTGACACCTCATCAAATTCTTGCTCATTTGTGTGAGCCCACCTTTAATATTGACATTTTCTAGTGTCTTGACTTACTATACTCTGCCATGGGAATTCCAGTTTTTAAAAGAATTTGTTGTGCATAAAACTTCATAAGCAAAACATAAAATTTGGGCTGAGTTATTCCTGGGATTTATCCCTAAAATTGAACCTTGGGAGGCATGTTTATAATATTTTTTCTTTCTCTTGATATTTTGTCATTTAAATGGGGTTAATCTTCCAAGCCTGGATGAGTCTGCATTGCTGATGTCTGTGTTAGAACCAATTGCTGAACTTCCTTGATCATTGATGGACAGAAACCTGCATTTTACAAAATGTGATTTATTTACTCCTAATATACAGCTGTAAAATGGATCAGAAGTGTCTGTCACTCTCTTATGGCCATAAAGGAAGTTCAGATATAAATATCTACATTGCTAATATCTGAACTTAGATGAGATGAATCCTGGCTTTGATGGCTTTGGAAAGTGCTATTTCCCTCAACACAATGCGTGACAGACATCCCTGGGATACATCTGGACAGTACAAGAGAAGACCAGGAATTTCCCAGGTGACACTTCCAGAAGTGATAACCAAGGGTCACAGTGCTACAACAATCCAGGTTTTGTGTGGGCAGTGGAGAAAACCTAAAAAGATTGGGATGCTTGACATTCACAATGGACTGTTCAAAATAGGATGAATATTACACAATGTCATCAAGATGCAAATCAAGGTCAGTAAAAACTTCCCAACTAGGGACATATCTGACCCATAACCCAACATTAAAACATCCCCAGCAAACCTTACTGAACTATGTAGATCTCGGTTCTGTGTCTGGCCCTTGAATATTTTGGGTCAAACCAGTAACATTGATCTAGCTACCCCTGAAGTTTAGATCTAGAAGTTTAGATCTAGATTCAAACTTTGGAAGCTTTGCCTGTCTAGAAAGTTCCTCCCTCTCTAAGACATGTTGCATTCAAAAGTTTTCTCGAACAAGCAAGAGCTTTGACCACTCCTAAAACACAGAGGTCATTTTTGGCAAATGATAATGGTAAAGTTCAGAAAATATAGAGAAGAGGTGAAATTGCATTCCTTGGAAACAGAAGCAGCTCATGAACATTAGAACTGGCATTCAAATGGCTGTTTTTTTGTTTTTGTTTTTTTTTTTTTTTTTTTTTTTAGGTTATTTTTTTTTTTTTCTCCCTAACCATAAAACAGTAGGAAAAGGTGAGACAGGTCACATAGCAAAGAATTAACATCTTGCAGAGAACTTTTTAGGAAGACATATGTACATTTCCTCATCAGCAAACTCTGCAGGTTTGAGACTGAGTTATCAGCCACAAGTAGACATGTATACACATTTTGGAAGGCAAACAACTTCCAGATTATTTTTTAAAGGTATCCACAAGTAATACAAAGTAGACATAGACACTTGATATAGAGATATCTTTACATAGTGTCCTCATGGATACTATAGGTTCAGGAAGACATTGCTCATGGAGGTGATGCTATACCATATTCCAGAAAGTAGAAAGCAAGCCCTTTTAAAATACTGAAAGGACAGATTGACATGGCAAGCTCCAGTGCAGAACTGGGCCAAGAGCAAACTGAAATGGCTAGATCTGTTTTCATCCCTTCCCTTGGGCTACTAAGCTGAATAGTTTACAAAGCAGAGAAAGTCATTCATAGACCTTTACAGTACAATTTCTAGTGCCACATAGTAACTGAGGATTTACTGCACTCTCCTGTGAAATTTCAACTGCCATAACAAAGCTTTATGTTGCAGATGATCAAGACTCAAATATTTAGGAATAATAATAACAGTAAAAAAGACATTTTACCCTCCCCTCCCCTTCCCACAGGGGACCAGTCTGTCTTCTTACAACTAGAGGTTGATCCAGCCCCATGCAAATGTTTACAAGGTGTTTTTTTTTAGTGTGATAAATTTTTTGTATAATGCTTTGCTTAAAGAAGGGGAAAATCCCACTTCCTGCAGCATATTGCAGGGACCAGCAAACATATCCTTTCATTCCTTGGATCAAATATATAATGATAAGACTGTGCAGGTGCTCCAGAGCTGACTCAGCTGCCACACGGTCACACTGTGCCTGTGAAATGCAATCCATCATTACGTTTGTAGCGCCTGCTTGATTAATATTCAGTATTTAATGTCAACACTGATAAATTAGGATTCAGAAGTGTTACACTGCAGGAACTGCAAACAGTGCTGCAATGATGATGGCCTGCGTTAGTTTTGTGAGATCTGTTAATTCAAGGGGAAATTCATAATTACCAAAATAGGGGTATGGTATTAACTACCAGCTGTGAGCTCTTGGGGTTACAGTGATACGTCACATTTAAAGGAACTACACGTTAGATTTCCAAATGGCTATGATTATTTCTTCTCCTGGATAAATAGTACTTCTACCCCTTTGCCATCCATTTTTGCACTAATGCTCTAATTGTGGTGTTACAGATACACAAGGTATATTGGATTTGGGAAGCACTTTGGCTTAGACAGTTTTAAACATTTACTTCCCAACTGCATAGGTTTCTTCTTAACTAACTTGCCCAAGAAAATAAAAAATTACTATGGCATTTTCAATCTCTCTTGTAACCTTTTCTCATTTGAAATATTGTTTAATTCTCTTCCATGGACAATTTTTTCAGACAAATCTGCTTTTTTCCCTAGTGTTTACTTAATGGTAACTCTTTTTTTCACCTTAGCTTTAGTCCTACATATGACATATTAAGCAATTCCCATTAGAGCTATAGTTTGAGACTCAGGAACACTTAATGGCCAACAGACTCTTCCCTGGTGGAGAATGAGGATTCAAAGGAAACATTTGAGATTCTTTCACTTTCATTATTTTTGTTTAAAAAAGTTTACACCTTGAGGTGTCATGAATACCCCTTCTTGATCTTCCTTTGCTTTGTCAGACCTGGCCAGCACAAGCAGCTGAGATCTTTGCTCTATTTTCCCTGCATCTCTGTGCAACGCTTTTTTAAAAAGAGAATATACTATTGTATTTTTCTAAGCCTTTCATACTGCTGTAACATGATCAGGATTCTCCTGAATCTCTATGCATTCGATCTCTTCTCGTTCCTTCCTTTTGGCTCGTTTCTTTTTCTTGTGGTGCTTTTTGGAAGGTGGGAAAAAGGTTAGAAAGACGGGCAAAATAACAAAACAGTGCAGAAGTGTGCAACTGCCGGCAAGCAGCAAGCATTTGAACAGTGTGAAGGTCAAGTTTGAAGGCACAAAGAGAAGGGGGACCAACCCGATAAGAAAGGAAGAAACGTTCTGCAAAATGGCTGTCCCATGCTCTTGGAGGGAGTTCTTTATACACTGAGTTCGGGTGTGCTCAGTAGCTAATACAAATGTATAAAGCAGGGGTGCACAGTGATCTATGGCAAAATTCAAAGTGTAGATAAGGCACAGTATAGAAATGCAATCCATGTCTACATTCCATAAGGTCATCAAGCCAAGGACACCCAGCTCTATTGAGGTGACACTAAGGATTAACCAGAAATTTCCCAGAGGGTGGATAACCAGGAAAAAGGTCAGTATTAACACCAGCAGGATGCCAAAACCAGAAATCAGGACAGGCATAGTTACTGATAAACCATAGTGGTCCATGAAAACAAAAGTAGGGTTGAACACAATGAACTTAATGCTCTGTATAAGAGAAAGTGGCCTCAGCTTCTCCAGCAGTTCCACCGCTTCCCTCTGTGTGTTTTCACTAGTCCTGGCCACAAGGTACAGACGAGAAGCAATTATGTTGTTCTCATCTCCAGCTTTGGAGAAAATGATGTCATTTTTGAAGTGCTGGAATTCTGGCTTTTTTAAAAAGGAGCTCTGGAGGATGCTGATAAAGTCACTTTTGTTGGTTGCACTGATGTTACCCACTCGAAGGTATTGGTAATACTGTTCAATCCAGGACACGGTGTTGAACCCCTGGCTGAGTGTTTTTAGGTCTTCTTGCACAGTACCATTCCAGTACTCCAGAGGTTCGTAGATGTAGAAGCCTATCACAGGGCTGTAGTTGCTGAAATACTTTTGCTGTATGAGGGCATAGGAGACGCTTGGGGACTCACTGGCGAGAAGGTTGATGATGTTGGCTCCATCATTAATCTGTAAGCACCCCATAAAGGAGAAAGAGGCATAGATGAGATACAGTATCACCACAAATGGCTTGACATAGATGTTGGTAATCCACTCATTGTAGTGCTCTCGGAGGAAATGCTGGATAAAGTGGTGCTGGTACGGGTTGGTCTCGTGGTGGGAAGTGTGCTGATGGCCGTCGTTCATCATGGTCTGGAACCACACAGGTTTCCGGTCCAGGTATTCTGCCGAGGGGATTTTACAGCAGAAGATGCTGTGGTACCGGTTCTGCTCCAGCTGGCCAGCAAAGACCAGGCAGGAGCCAAAGAAAGAGAAGATGTAGAAGTAGTTCAACAGGATGGAGACACACATGTTCTGGCAGAAGACTTTTACAGCTTCGATGTTGGTGAAGGGGCTTGCCCCCATGCCAAAGGCTATGAAATACAAGGAGCTTGTCATGGTGTAGGAGACCATGACATCTGAGTAGGCATCTGCTACTCGGTCCTTGAATGGCAGATTCTCCCTGGTCCGGCGCCATCCTGAAAGAAGTTCAAACACTCCCTTGGTTCCGTGACCTGAAATGAGAAAACAAAGTTTATATTTGTGCATATGTATAGGGGGGTCCAATCATCCCCCAGGTGTTCCATCCTCCAGCAGTAAAAAAAATTTGTCAGCTAAATTTTGTTGTTTTTGTCACCAGTTAAACAAATGGAAAACCCTTAAATGTCTGTCTAAAGATAAATACCATGTTCACCTGCAGGTGCTTCAATTAACAGCCCTGACATTCTAGGACTCTCCATCCTCAGGAAAAAAAAAATGAAGACATGAATTGATTTTAATGGACATTGAATTACTTCCAAAATGGACTGCAAATACAGGAGAATGTGAAGTTTGATTCAAGTCTGGGGTTCATTCTAAAAATTCTTTTTGTCATCCTATTACATCTTTCAAGGTTTAAGGGATTCAACTTGAAAAAACTTAAAAATACAAGTAATATTTTCTTCTGAAGAGTATAAATAAAAGGGATTATATGAGAAATGAATGGTTGTGACCAAGAATGGGTCATCTTGTTTCTTTGTACATGATAAAGGAAAAATTATGCTGTAAGTACAAATTACCAGAGTAATTTGTGTAATGATTCTCTGCCTACTGAGTGAAATTGGAACTCTCAATGATAGCACACAAGTTTTCAGACAAAACTGACATGCTGGTGATAATGATGGAGAGTAGTATACTGGCTAAGCCATTGGTCCACATTAATTGTCTAGAAAACATATGGGTTTATTTTCTGTGATTATATCTGTGTCTCTCTGCTATCCAGAGCTCCTCCTGGTGACAAGGAGTTCTCTTAGCTCATGTGAGAGGACTTTCAGAGAAGTCAGATGTGGTCAGTATTCCATGACAGGTTTTGACTTTGTATTCCATTCCTAATGTTTTAGGGGTATGATATTTTAATAAACTAAAATTTAATACAGAATTACTTTAATTTGACTTGTCACAGTCACAGACTAGGAATTCTACAGCTATTAAATTTTGTGACAGAATGGTAAAGCTGAAGCTGATCTTATGGAAAAGTTTAACAAATAAGTTATGTATCATATATACATATTCATATAATGTGTATGTCGAAGAGAATGCATACACACATGCACATTCTTTTTTTTTTTTCTTTTCAGAATTTCAACTGAGGGAAAACAGAAAAGCCAACATTCAAAAAACCCATCCAAAATGGTTTGGCTTTCAAATAAAAATTGCATTTGGCTTTCAAATAATATTTAAAACAATTAAAACAATTTAAAAAAAATTAAAACAGTTATAACCAAAAATTTGAATTTTGATTAGAAACTGGAAAGTTTTAAACTTTGGATCTAGCCCTGAGAAAATTCTGGCCAATGTAAGGAGACACACTACTGAGCAGAAAAAGAAGTAGGAGTAGATTGCAGATGTTTCTACCTCTGTTTGTGGGCCTTCACTCTCTGTAGTAGAAGAATTGCATAAGCCAAAGCAGGCACAAAGCAAATTTTCTCACATCAAACCCAGAAATATGACAACAGGAGATTTGCAAATAACCAAGTGTGTGCAATGAAAGGTCTGTTGAGTTTGTCTTTAGATTTAAATTGTTTGGATTCATACAGCTGCTTATGTTGCCCAAAGCAGACTCCTGACAGCCGTTCTAGACAGGGAAAATTACAGCATAAACTGTCAGGTTCTGTGAGTGTTACCTGCTCGACTGCAGATCAGTGTCCCCAGTGAAAGATAAACATACAGTAGTACAGAAGTCTTGCAGTTAGCAAAAGGCCTATGTGGAAATGCTGCTCTCTTATGAACCAGCACCTCAGTTCAGGAGGGACCTTGAATTCCCTGGTAAATTTAGGGTGAGTTGTTCAAATTCTCAAGGCACAGCTGCCCTTCAAACTGTCATTTTTGGACCATCAAGCAGAAAGGATTGTCTCCTTCTGCAGAATAAATCTGAAGAATCAAGTGACCTGAATGCAGGTTTTATATGACTGTAGCAAGTGTTTAGGTCTCCTGCAGGTTATGGACCAGGCTGGCTGGTCACCACTTCAAGGTCCCATGTTCTGGAATTGCTTAATTTAATGGTACAGAAGCCACAGAACCATTTAGGTTGGAAGTGACCTCTAAGATCAAGTCCAACCATTAACCCAACACTGCCAAGCCCAGCACTAAACCATGACCTCCAGTAACCCATCTGCACATCTTCTAAAAGCCTTCAGGGATGGTGATCCCACCACTTCCCTGGGCACTCTGTTCCAATGCTTGACAACCCTTTGAGTGAAGGAAAATTTTCCTAATATTCAACCTAAACCTCCTCTGGAGCAGCTCCAGGCCATTTCCCCATGTCCTATTGCTGATCACCTGAGAGAAGAAACAAACTCCCCTCCTGTCAGGGAGTTGTGTAGAGCCAGAATATTCTCCCTGAGCCTCCTTTCCTCCAGGCTGAGCGCCTTTCCCAGCTCCTTCAGCTGCTCTTCATCAGACCTGAGCTCCAGCCCCTTCCCCTCTGTTGTCCTTCTCTGGATGCACTCCAACACTGGAATGAGTGAAGCAACTCTATCAGCAATTAACAATAAGGGCTTTTCTCTCCTTATTCCAAAATCTCACTCATCTGCCCTCCTACAAGTTTATGCTCACAGTTGCATCTTTGCCATATTTTATTGTTATTAATTTATAAGTGTTAACATATCAGATTCTCAGTGATGAATAGCTGGATGAATGCAACCTTGGGATAGCTGCACAATAAATAATAGAGAGGGGCTTTAGTGTCAAACACATGTGTGAAGAGCTATGCAAGAATATGCACTAATGTGTGTCTCCAAACTTGTGATAATGTTCAAAATTACAACACTGTAATTAAACTCCAGGCATTTTTTGCAAATAGAACAAATATTATCTTAAGGAAACAAAGTATTGATATTTGTAGCTTCTTTAAGTATCAAAATTGGCACTGACTTTCTTACGATTCTTATTATACAAAAGTTAAATTTCCACCTATTCCCGTTTTACAAGTGTCTTCAGTTCTATCACACAAACACAGGTACTGGGGAATACAGAGCAGTAATTCCCTTGCTGGCACAGGAGGAAATCTTCGCCTGACTGGTTTGCCCATGTCATCACTCAGATACCAAGTTTTCCAGTCAGCTCTGTTGCTGTCCCCAGATAAGCAGGTCTATTCCCTTCTCCCAACAAGGATACAAATCCATTTTTCCTGAAAGTTTTCTGACAGTTCTCAAGATTCAGACAACATAGTCACTCTATAAAATTCTGTTCCTTCAGCTTAGTTCCTAATGCCACAACAACATTGACAGTGGACTTATGTTCACTGAGAAGTTCTAGGAATGTTCAGAGGGTCTTTGGCTCTGGGTCAAAACTGCCAAATTTCCCTGGTACTAACATGACATGAATGAAGTGCAGCAATTTTTTATTTGCTGGACAGGCAATGGTCTATGACTTCTTTAAAGGAAAGGAGACAAGAAATTTTTATTCCATTATTTGTGAGGGTAGGAGAGCAAGAAAGGGAGGCCACAGAGAAGATGAAAAGTAGTAGTGAATTCTTTGCCTCAAATTTAAAAGGAAAAGATTAATTATGAGCAGATATTTAAAATACGTTGGAAGAGAATAGGGATAGAAACTAAAAGAGTGAAATGAGAGACTAAAGAACACTTGATTGAGTTAAATTCAATCAACCTGGAGAAATGAATCAGTTAAAAGTTAAGCCAAAGCAATCTCTGAACAATTAGAAATAATCTCAGAGGATAAATGTAGACAGGACTGTCCAAGAAGAATGGAAAGAAGAAGCAAAGTATACATCTTCAAAAAGAGCTGGAGCACTGTTTTAAAATGAAGCATAATTTTTTAAATTGAATCATGGAAAGATTTAGTTTGGAAAGGACCTTTAAAATCACCTAGTTCTAGACCTCTGCTGTGGATGGCATTAAAAAAAAAAGGAAAAAATAGGCTGAATGTCCTGGAGAATAAAACCAGCAAACAACAGCCTGTTATTTATACATGAAAATCAAAGTGAAACTGAGCGAGTTGGATTTTTTTCCCCTCATAGACTGGATTGCTAGTGAGGAATCAACATAAAAAAGGTATAAGGAAAACAATCAAGTCTAATTTCTACTTGGAAAAGGAGAAGAAGTCATTGGTTTAATCTGGAAAAAAAATCCCCAAAACCCATTAAATTAGATATCAAAAAACAAAGCTTTCTTTCTTTAAGCTTCATTAAACTCTGGAACACACAATCTAAGGAGGCGATAAAATTTTCTTCATTGCAAGTCTAAAGGTTAAATTAATAAATGTTAATGTAGGTGCTGGATACATCCTGTCAGTGCTGGGAGGCAGATTCTGTTCACATTCCTGAGGTCTCTTACTTTTGTACCATCATACCTAACTCTGTCTTGAGATGCTTAAGATTTTTTAAGCATGAAAACCAGTCTGTCTTCAGTGTTTTCTTAACCAAAGCATGCCCATTCAGCATTTAGCTATTGCTTCTGCCACGATCAGTCAGCTTCTTTGCATAGGAGTTTGATCTGCATTTATCACTCCTCAAAATAGCCACCGATACCCCAGTCTGAGCCATGAGGCTCTGCTGGAAGGAGAGCTGCTGGCTGCTGCCAGCTTTTGTAAACTTTCTAGGAAGGGAGATCAGGATGACTCTGCACTTTTTATTGAATCAAGGCATAAAGAAGATTATTTGCTGCAATAGGTAACAGCAGTCAGTGTGGTGATAACCTTGGTGCCTACAATATATTTTAAACAAACACACAAACAAGCAAAAGTCTTAGAAGTGCCATAGCACAGATTACTCAGCATTTCTGCTCTGAGAAATCCAAGTATTGTCCTCAGTTTTCATTAATGTAACTTGTAATGCATACAAAGGATGAGGAGGCAGCTTTCTTTTAAATCATAGTGGTGGGCAGGAAGTATATTTTTACATTATAATTCTTTGCTGTGATCCTATAAACTTTACATTATTTTATCTAGGGGGAAACACACCTTTTTTTTTATTATTTCCCCCAGCAGATAGGCAATTCATGTTCTAGAAAAAATTGTC